CGCTGCGCGACGCCAAGCTGGACAAAAGCCAGATCGACGAGATCGTCCTTGTGGGTGGCTCCACTCGCATTCCCAAGGTGCAGAAGCTGCTGCAGGACTTCTTCAACGGCAAGGAGCTCAACAAGTCGATCAACCCCGACGAGGCGGTGGCCTACGGAGCCGCCGTCCAGGCGGCCATCCTCAGCGGCGACACCTCCTCCTCAGTGCTCAAGGACCTGCTCCTGTTGGACGTCACACCACTGTCGCTGGGCATTGAAACCGCCGGCGGAGTGATGACCACGCTGATCAAGCGCAACACCACCGTGCCCACCCGCCAGACGCAGACCTTCACCACCTATGCGGACAACCAGCCGGGCGTCAGCGTGCAGGTGTTTGAGGGCGAACGAGCCATGACCAAGGACAACAACCGCCTGGGCAAGTTTGAGCTGAGCGGCATTCCACCGGCACCTCGCGGCGTCCCCCAGATTGAGGTCACCTTTGACATTGACGCCAACGGCATCCTCAACGTCTCCGCCCAGGACAAAAGCACCGGCAAGCAGAACAAGATCACCATCACCAACGACAAGGGCCGCCTCTCGAAGGACGAGATCGAGCGCATGGTCAACGACGCGGAGAAGTACAAGGCCGAGGATGACCACCACCGAGAGCGCATCGAGGCGCGCAACGCCCTCGAGGGCTACGCCTTCCAGCTGAAGCAGACCGTGGAGGAGGAGGCGGTCAAGGCGAAGCTGTCCGCGGAGGACATCACCAAGGTCCAGCAGAAGGTGGGCGACACGCTGCGCTGGCTGGACAGCAACGCCCTCGCGGAGAAGGACGAGTTCGAGCACCAGCGATCGGAGCTGGAGGCAGTCTGCAAGCCCATCATGGCCAAACTCTACCAGCAGCAGCAGTCCGGACCACAGCCCAACACCTTCTGTGGCCCGCAGGGCACTGGAAACACTAGTGGACCCACTGTGGAGGAGGTCGACTAAGTCTACTGATAATTCCTCACTGTTCACCCTATCACCTTTACTCATCTTCCCGCTGTACTTTCTAGTAGTTTTTAATAGTCATTGATCTCATGATTATCTGTAATATTTATCCATTGTAAATTGTAGCAATAAATAAAATATTTTTTATAAATAAACAAAAACNAAAAAGCTTACGGCACCGAGTGTTCCCAGGTGGTCACCCTCCCAAGTACTGACTCGGCTCGATGTTGCTTAACTTCGGTGATCGGACGAGAACCGGTGTGCTCAACATGATATGGCCGTAAGCTGAGGTAGACTGAGGTGGGGAAGACTTTAAGTGTTTCTCCTTCCACATGTTCCATATGTTTCTTTCCACTTGATAAGCAAAAGTATCAAGAGTGATGTTTGAAGATGAATCATCTTCATTTAGCAAGGTAAGATTAGAGCGCTGATTCGAAAAGTTGTG